AAGGAACCCCAGAAGAATCATATTTTTAAGAGTGTTAACACGTGAGTCATTAAATGCTAATTTTAGATCAGGATGACCCTTTAAAAACAGACAACTACAGCAATAAGAAAAAACCTCCCCTGCACTGCACACAGAACCGTTTACACTGTGATTTATTTAAATTTAACTCACACTTCCGCTTCCCAACCGGATATTTCAGCCACAATCTGGAAATATAGTGGTCATGTGAAAATAAAGGTGGCTGTTTCCTTCACGTTGGCAGCCTGTGTGTGGTCAGCTCTGTGATTGTGACAATGTTTGCTGCTGAGTATGAAACAGTAGCTTCTCATCAGGTCGGAGATACACGCAGATAACCCAGCTATGACCCTGCCCTCAGGCCCGGCCCGCGCGTGTGGGCCACAGCCAGCACACATACTGACAGGAAACACAACGTACTTCTGTCAACTTTGACCCCAAGGTCAAAATGGCTGATTATGCCATTCATCCCGGACATGCTAAGCAGAAGGGCATGCAGGGATACTCGAGGTCAAGGGTGACATATGGCCCGTTCCCACTGGCTAATCTGCCCTTCATCAAGTTTGATCACCTATTAGAGACGATGAGCCAAGGTCACACCGTTTTACACCTCTGAGGTGGGCAAGGTGTGGCTCCAACGTGATGATCTTTCATTACTGTTCGCGCTCAAAGCTACATACATCACTGCACTTCTAACCTTCATTAGTTCAGCGCGGAGTCCCGCAGGTCTCACCAGGCTAATATTGTAATAAGATTAATTACTCTAACCAAGCTAATTAGATTTCAACTCAGGAGGGGGTAATAAGGTCTCTTTACACATGACCGAGAGGAATTAGACATCACCGCCGATGTGTGTTTACCCTCTGCGCCGCAGAATGTTTTGTCGTAACTGGATCAGGCGGTGAATGCTTCTGTATCAGTGTCATTCAGCGAGCGAGCCTGGGGAAAACACACCATTCAAGGTCATATTGAAGCAACACAATCCTTTGCTTTGGTTGGCTGGACGACCCCAGTCAACACATGGGGAGTTATTACAATCAGCTCTAAATTTCATAAAAGACGGCCTCATAAGTGCTATTGATTGCGTTAATCCGCTGCGAGTCCCCCCAGGTTTTTCTATCACCCCCAGCCATATGCCACCAAGAGCTATAGTTTCAACAAATTGATGTTGGAGCAGCTGAATAAAGGTAGAACCTCTGTCGTTCTCAAATGTTTATAAGCCACCCTGTTACCAACAAACTTCTGCTTTGCTGCAAACCGTTCAAGCACTTCAAATTCAGTGTCAATGCAAACTGATTAGATCAGCTGCCTCTTTGTTTTCAGTGTCTAAGCACAGCATTGATGCTTTTCTTTACCATATCAGCTCCCACAGTGTATAAGTGGATAAGAAGTAATGTATATATTGTCGCAGTCAGAGCAAAACCTCTCATCTACAGAAAAAAAATGTGTTTACGGGAAAAGGAAAAAAACATTACTAACTTTCACTGTAAGTTAATGTACCGATTTCATTCTCTGTACTTCTGGATGATTTCTATTGGTCCGTTCATCACGACATTTTGATGCAAGGTAAATAGCAGCTCACATTTTCAAATTATTAAAATAAATAAAAACAAATACAAGACATTGTTTTGACAGCAGTGATATATTGGGGGAAGTTTCCTCCTTAAAAACGATTAACTGTAAAGCTAAATCATATCTCTGACTAAGCATATCGCACAAAATCTCTCAAAACCATTTTTCAGTTTTTGACATAATTTGAAAGTGCCTGTTGTCCTTTACATTGTGTGTAAATTTCATGATAAATGGATCAAAAGAAACAGCCCAAACCTAGCTGAAAAAAAGTTTGGTGCCATTGACTTACATTAAAAGTGGAGTAGGTTTTTTGCTTCTCCGGTAAAGTTATCTTTTTGGAGGTACGAGGTGGAAATAAACAACAGCCTGCAGCCAAATTTGTGTTTATAGCACAAAAAGTAAAGATGGTCCTGTTATGTGTGTTTTGAATGAGTGTGTGTGTACATATATACACATATACTGTATATATATGTCATTCATGCCTCGATTGCTGGGAGTTTTTTAGGCCTCCAGTTTTGTTTTGTCATTGCATAAAAAGTCACTGTTTACGTAATTGATACATATTCATTCACCACGAATTGTAAAAACATTGCTCACTGTTTTATGCTATTTCAATTTATTTTATTTTATTAAATTAAATTTTAGTGAATGATTTTGTTTTTTGTTTTTTAGTAATCATCCAGTATACTTTTTTCAGTATTTTTTTCCTGATCAGAACTTTAGGATGGTCAAAATCATTATTTCTTTAAGCACGTTTTTGCATTTTTGTGCTGTTCTGATAAAGCGCAGCAACAAAGGGGCAGTAAACTGTATGAATTAATGCTTTATCAGTGCAACACTTACAGTAGTGAAAGTGAAGGAAAAAGTAAACAGTTACTTGGTTTCTGTTTTGTGCCTTTTTTGGACTCAGGGTGACAGTTTAGGTTTGTTTTGGGAGTAGTTTGGAGAAAACGAGGTGAAGCAAATGTTTGTATTGACTTGTAAAGATCCACCAATCCAAATGCCTCAGCGTAGGATGGCCCAAGTACAGGCATATGCAAAAGTTTGAACACCCCTAGTCAAATGGCAGATTTTGTTGATTTTCTAAGTGAAAATAAGTGAACACGTCCTCTACAGAGAATTTCTGCACATTTAATGCACAATTACAGTTTATTTACTAAACATAACGTATTGGAAAAACACCTAGCATGTACAAAGATTATGGTGCATTTAATATGTGATGTTTTAAGTTTTTTTTTTCCCCCAGTATGTTCCAAAACATGGAATTTGACCAGGGATGCTCAAACTTCTGCAACTGTAGGACCTTTTACCAAAGTTTCTCAAACAGTTACCATCAATGCCATTTTTTCAGTAATCACTCTTGTGACTGTGTAACCTACATATTAGTTCCAAAGTAGTTACTGAATAATAAGCTTAAGGATAATAACTGAACAACACGCCTGTAGGGGGGACTTTAAGGGGTTTAAATGTACGTTAGTGTAACAAGGTTTTGTTCGGACCATTGCTCTTGGTCCATTCATCATAAAATGTTCACACAAGTGGAAGAGGCCACAGGCCTTCAGATGGTATAAAAATATATAAAAACAAAAACAAGAAAGTTTTGAGGTTACAGCAGCGATAATTAACTTAATTTTGTCCCAAAACGTTAATTATTGATATGAAAAGCTGTTGTTTTTTGGCATAACGATTTGTAGCTGTCCTCAAATGTCCTGTTATGAGCTGAAGTAATTAAATGCGTTTAGCTTCAGTGTCAGAAGAAGCTGGAGGGCCAAACTGGGCCATGAGTGGACAGCTGCAGCAGAAACTTGAACCCTCTCCTGCCTTCATTCATGCACCGCCACACCCGGCCCTCCCAGCCTCTACATGACAAAGTGCAGCTCAGCACTTCTCCTCCCCCTCCCTCCCTTTCTCTCTCTCTCTCTCTCTCTCTCTCTCTCTCTCTCTCCTCCCTCTCTCACTCTTCGCTGACTCTCCTGTTGCATTTGAATGTGAAAAGCCTCTTATGTGTAGCTGGCTAGCGGTGGGGAGGAAGGGGGTGGTCATCTTTTAGCGTGTGGCTAGTGCTAGCTGCCTGGAAATGGGCTGAAGTGAAGCATTCTGGGTGGTTTGCACTTTAGTGGTTTGAGGTTTCAAGCAGATCCTTTCCTAAATATGTAGAAAAGCTTCACTAAGTGGCTTTTTAAGTTATGGGAGAATAAGAATGACTTCAGAATCCGTAAATTAGGAAAAGTTATTGAATTGTAAATTGATAGTCCCACTTCATACATCAGTGCTGTCATATTAAAACCCCATAACTGGTGCATTTGTTGAGATTTTTGTGGTTATAAATCATTCGAAAACACCAGCTGATGTTCACATTTTGTAAACACGGTGTGAAGAATGGACAGTATAGTTTAAAGTGACTTAAACTGTGTTACATTAACGTACATTAAATGAGTGTTTTTTCATTATGGTTTTGGAGGTTTTGATTGGAGGTTTTGCTGTGACCATAATGATATGCTAATCCTTTGAGTGAAACAATCAACAATAAAAATAGTTATGAGTCATAGTAATACAGATGTTTATTTACTAAATTATTGAATGTTTTGGGTTTGTTTTTTTGTCTTTTTCCATGTGCAGAATGCAAATGTTTGAACAGCCCCAGTCAAACTGCATATTTTGTTAATTTTCTAAGTGAAAATAAGTGAATACATCCACTACAGAGACACACTGATGTACATTTTAATGCACAATTACTGTTTATTTGCTGAATTTAACGTATTGGGAGGAAAATACATAATGTGACCTGGGTTATGACAATTTCAAATTTAATTTTTATATTGTTGTATTTATATTTATTTCCATATGTTAAACTCAGCAAATAATTAGAAAGCGTTCACTAAAAATAGCAAAAAAAATCCATATTTCAGTGCATTCTCTTTAGAGAATGTTTTAACTTATTTTCGCTTTAAAAAATAAAATCAAAACAATGAATTTGATCAGGGGTGTTCAAAATTTTGCATACGACTGTAGCTTATTATTTCCTATCCCATTCCGTTCAACTTCAAGAGCTCTTCAGTGGCAAAACAGCTCAATTTGGATGTGATAGTGTGTCTGTATGTGAGGCATTAACTTCTGCCTGTCCGTGCACTTCGCCTGGCTTTGAAAATAAGAGAGAGAGAGGGAGAGAGGGAGAGAGGGAGAAAGGGGGGTCTGTATTGTTCTGCTGCAGGGGAAAAATAGGGCTATCAGTTCCACTCAGATAACCCCCCACAACGTCATTGGCCCTCTGGCCACACCGTGACCCCTGGGGCCTGAACTGGGCGGTCATGTGACCGGGCCTGAAAGTGACCAGCAGGGCTGTGGTGGGAGGAGGAGGATCAGAGGCAGCCGGAGCTGGAGAGGAGAGGGAGGAGAGCGCAGGGAGAGAAAAAGAGTGAGAAGAGGCAGAGCGAGTGAGAGGGGAAGGGTGAGAGACATGAGGCCTAAGCCGTTCACCAGGAGGATACATGTATGAATGAATGGCAGAAGGATTGGAAGAGACATGAGATGGATTCATGGGAAGGTAAGAGAGCGAAGTAGGGGGGATGATGGAAAGAATGTATGAGCTGTTGATTTTTTCATTGTGGTTACACTAAAAGCAGGCTGGTGGTCTAATGTATAGATGTAAACAGTATAGATAACGAGTAGCCAAATGAAAAAACCAACACTTTTTTAGTGATCATTCCTGATGCTCTGAAAGCCCTGTTTGCCTAATGAAGCTAACAGCTGGTGGGTTTAGCAGTACAGGTTACTTATTTTGTGGCAAACCTCTGCAGCTGGCTTTATCTTCAGCCATTTTTGTAGCATAATTAACATGTAGCGGTAGTAATAGTTAAATGGTACTGAGATCTGCGCCATACAGTCTTTTTCCATAATATAATGTTTACGTTGTGAGAAAGGGAGTACATCGACGCTGTCGGAGCAAAACCTTATGTTTTTAAAATAATAACATTACAGGAGAAGGAACAAACATTCATAACTTGTAATGAAAGTTAATGTAACCATATTTTTTCCAGAGTCATTTTGGGCAATTTCTGTTGGTCAGTTCATCATGAAATTTTAACGTAATGCAGAAGGTAACTGGACTTTTCAAATTGTGAAAAAAAAAAAAAGCCAGAATGGATATACAGGATTTTCGTGTGCCAGTGACGATATGTGGATAAACAGTAGTACAGTATTAGCAAAAAGGCAAAATAGAATCATATCAGGTTTCTATTACAGTCAATGTCAACTAGCAATAGAAGTGTGAGCCTGTGAACAGAAACAGATGAATAAATGTTCAAATTAATGTTGTTCTCAGTTATGAACTCATGTAGGAGCGGTCTTCTGGACTATGTGGGCACACTTTGAGTAGTATATATAATGCATAATGACTGTATTACGTAACAGTTGCATTGCAAATGGCCGTGTCTGCAGTAATGATGAAGCTATCTTTGTTACTGAAGGGTGAGTAAACACTGTAGGCCTGTGGGCTGCTGTGCTATCAGTAGGGTTTTCTTAGTCATTCTGTTTAGCGTTAAATGCTATTGTGTTAAGCTGATAGTCTTAAGGTGGTGAATTGTATAATAGTGTATCTGCGTTCTATATTGTATGTAATAATCTCAGTAAATATAGTATTGTGACAGTAAAGCCTCGTGTTGTGTAATAATAGTGAGCTGCGCTGGGGTTGTGTGTGTGTGCTGTGTGGTATGCAGGCTGTGGCCCATCTGGAAAAGGTTTTCTGTGCTGAGCAGGCAGCTGTGTTCATGTGACGAGGAGCGGGGGTCAGCAGGACCCTTACACTCATCTGGTTAAACCCCCGACACGCACACAAGCCCCTGCCCCCTCCTACTGTAGCCCAAACTTCACCCCTCATTCCTCCCAGTTTTATCACTTTGACTTTTTGGCTCCTCCTCAGCTGATCATAAAACCAGCGTCGTAACATTTGCTCAGGAAAAACAAAAAAAGAACCAAGGAAAAAAAAAAAAACCTAATTTTGCGTGGAAATGGTTTTAATTGGTGTATTTTATACCCTTTTATACAGTCTTTTCACTTTTATACAGGCTTTATGTATAATAATCGACATTAAGGCTATTTAAAGTTGAATCGTCCTCAGCCGTCCACTGGCCTGGCCAGGCTGATGTGTTGTTAGCCTTTGCAGTGTTAGGTTAATTAGCATGCGCTCTTCTCAGCTTCTTGAGAGTTGCATGTGAATGTTCTCACATCATGATAAGAAAGAGAAAAGTAACAAGGACAAAATCCAAATTAGCTTTAAAGCTAACTTATAAGTGGTTTAACCCCCTCAGCCTTCATATCATTTATAGAATATATAGTAATTTACAGTGTTGCTTCCTGGAGTTGAATCGTCCTCAGGTGCCGACTGAACTGGTTAGGCTGGCCTGATATTAGCTTTGAAACTGCTGTGTTAGTTTTATGCTAATATGCTAATTGGCGTGTATCCTTTGTAGCTTGCTCTGTTTTTTGTGAAGTGAAAATTCTCTTACTTTGTGATAAGAAGATCGTCTTAAAACTAGATATGAGATGCATCTTATGATTATAAAGCCAGTGTTGTAACATTTGCTCAGCTCAAGGAAAGAAACAAGAATCAAGAACACAAATCCACATTAGCTTTGAAGCTAACTTAACATGTAAATGGTTGAAATTGGTTTATTTTCTACAGCCTTCATATCATTTACAGAATTGATTATAATTGACATCATTGTTTCCTTAAGTTAATTTGTGCTCAGATGCCAGCTGGACTGGTTTGGCTGACCTGATCTTAGCTTTTAAACTGCTGTATTAGTTTTATGCTGAAGTGAACATGTTCTCACATTAGGATATGAGGTGCATCTTAAGACTGTAAAACCAATGTTGTAACATTTGCTCAGCTCAAGAAAAAAAAAAACAAAACAAGACCAAATTAGCTTTGATGCTAATTGTATAATGGTTGTAATTCTTTTACAGAGCCATATTCTCCCTTCATCGTTTGAAAAATGTAAATTAATAGACATTAATCCTTCCTGTCACCAGCCGCCCACTGGACCCGCCAGACTGAAGTGATATTAGCTTCAAACTCCTGTGTTAGTTTTATGCTAATTTGCATGCGTTCTTCTTAGCTTTCTCGGGGTTAGATGTGAAAATGTTCTCACGTTGCGATATGAGGTGTAAAGCACTTTCCCCTCATTTGATGACTCTGTCTCCCTCTCCCGCTTTCATTTATTCATTGATTCACACCTTCACATTTGTGAATGAACTCTGCTGAAGACACGGAGCCCACCTCAGGCTAGTTTTGACGGCATATTGAAGTGTAAGGGGGGCACATACCCAGGATGCCTCTCAACTGGGTTGTTTTTCAAGAGCTTGATTAAATTAAAATCACTCTAGAATACTGGAGGGCGGCTTGATTAGGATAAAAATGATGATTATTTTGGTCAGTATTAAGATTGTGATTGTGTAACACAATTACTTATTGATTTTAGAAACATCATGCAGTTATTGAACTTTTAAATCCTTGAATTGAACAGTTTTATATCGATTATCTTGTTTTCAAAATAGCTGGAGGCCAAAATCATAATTGAAAATAAAATTCAATTAATCGCCCAGCCCTAGAATATAACACAATTTGCTTTTTGAGCCTTTTTAAATATATTTAGCAAAATGTAAGGATGCCGGTATACAACAGCCGATGTTAATGAAATAGCCAGTGTTACTGAAGCAGTCAAGCTTAGTGGAACAGCTAATGCTAATGATTAACGTGAGATTCTGAAGGTCTTTTAAGAGCACCATTGCTAGTAATGATGTAAATAGACTAGTAGTTGTGCGGTGTGGCTTGAGTTGCATGCCTAACATAACCCATTTCCAGTTGTAAACTGATCTGGCAAGGCTGGCATGATATTAGCTTTTAAACTGAAGTTAGTTTAATGCTAGATAGAATGCGTTCTTCATAACTTCTGGAGGGTCTGATGTCTAAATGTTCTTGTGTCACAATATGAGGTATCCTGACATTTGATCAGCTCAAGGTACAAGAAAAAATACAAATTACCTGTGAAGGTTTTGAATGGTTTAAATTGGTGTATTTTATTTCATGCAGCCTTCATATCATTTACAGAATTTATAGTAATTAACATTTAATGCTTATCCTCATTTATCTGAATACTGGCCTTATTAACATGAGACTCTGACCCATTTAAATTCATATAAGGACACTTTATTTTTCCTGAATTAAAGAGACTGCAAATGCCATCACATTGTAGCCGTGCTTGAATATGGCCAAGGGTGGTATGCGAAAACACCATTGTGCTTGTGTACGTGTTTCAAAAGGCTACTGTACGAGGCTCCTCCTCCGCTGCTAATCCTATTGAGCCTGCGCCTAACCCTGCTACTGTGTTATTGTTAACAACAAGGGGGCTGGGAGGCGTGGGGGGGACCTCTCAGGGCTTCTTTGCATCCTTTCCATTCCTGTCTTTCTTTTCCACCTCTCCCTTTCCATGTTCACTCTGTGTCTCTTTCCTCTTTCCCTTCCATTTTTTTTCTGTCCTTCCTTCTCATCCGTCACTCTTTCAGGCAGGAAGTCACCTCTCAGTGGCATCTGGGTTGGGGGGGTGAAGGGTGGGGGGCGAAGGGTGATGTGGACGCAGTGCGTGTGCATACTTACGGGGGATGGGGCTAAAACCTGTGTGTAGATCAATAGCAGTAGGAGAGGTCAGTGATCGGAGGTTCTGTAAAATTGGTCTAAATTTAGACCAAATGAAAACCTGTCTACAATGGTCACCACAAGCCAATTAGCCGGGTGGACTGTTTACGTCACCAAACAGTATATGTCCTTTAGCTTTGCGCTCCAGTGCAGTGATATTGAAGCTTCACCCACACAAACAGTTGATACCCATGTGAAAACAAAGCCATTATTTTGACATCAGGATTGATTGATTTTCTTGTTGGCTCCTCTTCTTAATTCATTACTGCCTCGTTCTTTGAACGTATGCCTTTTTTTTTTTAGCTTCAGGGCCATTTCTACAGGTTAGATAAGGTAATCTCACCGCTGGAAAGCTTTTATTCAACCTTTAGCACATTTACTTGAAGAAAATCAATCTTATTTTTTCCACTCAATGTCGTTTATGCTATATATTTCAGCGTAGCATCTATTCATGTATCGTGTGAATGAAGACCTTGCATAGTACTCTGTGCATCCTTCTCTTTATGAAGCTTTATCATGTGTCAAGATACCCCGGCAAACTGTATTTGAAGTGTGTTTTTTGTGTTAAATCACAAAAACGCATCATTTTTCACACCAGAAGTTGAAAAGCGTAAAACGTGTTTGCGCTGACTTTGGCCTTCGTATAAATCTTCTAATGAATGATGTTTTGAGATTTTTCCTTGTTAAGTAGACTTTGGCCAATCAATAGCACCCCACAAATACAGAAATTCCAAAGCCTCAGATGAAAGGCTTTGTGTGGCATCAGCTTGGAATCCAGGCCCCATAACCCTTCTTAGATAAGGACTACAGAAGAAAGGGAAGTTTAGCAGGAGAAACTGGCGAGTTGAAGA